TTATGAGTAAGTTGACTCGTAAGCAAGGCCTAGGTGGCGCTAACGACAAGCAAAATCTTGGTCTGACCTTGACTATTTGAGTGAGACCCCCATGAACTACCCGAAGGGAAACTTGGCCGACGTTGCCACAGTTGCGCTGAAAAACACACATTCTCCGTTGAACATAAATCGTGTTAATTCATCGACATCCGCACTCCACAACAACCATGTCCTTGTAGGCAAATCGATACGTCAATACTCCTCTTTCATCCACATACAAAACTGAAATCGAATCTAACACTGTTGGCACGCAGCAGGATCGAGAAGCCTTTGAAGCATCCACACTGTGGATCAAAGCCTGCATGATCGCGTGCTTGGTTGGGCTCAAATGGTCAGCCACCGGGTAGAAACACTTTCCTTGACATTGGTAGGCCTGGGCAAAAGAGTTGAAACTAATTTAAAAAATTAATTAATGAAAAACTTGCCTTACATCGTATCCAGCCGGTTGCACGATCCACGAATCGTACTTAATCTCGGCGAAATCCACATAGAGCGGCCTTCTTCGGCAGTTGTTTCGCTTGATTTTCCTCAGGAGCTGCCGCGGCAGCTCGCCAGTCCAAATCGTGTTGGTTTCCTCCTCGTAGTCTTCTATATCGGCGCTCCTTCGGTTGCGCGCTTGAAGCAACCCACTCTTTTTCTTCTGCTTAGGGTGCGACTTTTCCTCAATGGAATAGGACAGGATCAAGATGGGGTAGTCGTGGTCGCTGTCGAAGCCCTCCATTAACGGAAGAATAGACAACTTCAAGTGGTTTTGCTCCTGATGGTAGACGCTGGATAGGGTGATGAGCACTTTCAGGAGCGTGTCTTCACTGCTCTCTTGCAGGAGTTGGCCGACTTCTTCGGTCAAGTTGAAGGTCAGCCACGTGTCGTTCAGATGGTGAATCTGCCTTTCGCTGTGGTGCGAGTAGCGTTGAGTGTGGTGATTGAAGAGCGATATTTTGAGGAACTTCTTCACGCCTGCAAGGAAGCTGCAAATAAACTTGCCGACTTGAGGGAAACAGTGGCCCTACCCGATTCTTCCTTGGATCGGACTTCGACTCGCGTGAGGACCTTCATTTCGGCTGCCATGAACTTTTCATCCTTGGCCGAGCTGGGGATGTTAAAGACCAGCAGATGGTTTTCGCTCAGCTCCTCCACAACGTCCTCTTGGTTGAGGTTCTCTAAAACATCCCCTGGAGTTGTGGACTTTTCTCCGAAAGAATCCCCCAACTTACCTGCTTGCGCAGGGATCAAACTCCGCACCAGATCAGCTTCGCGTTTTTTGGCACTCTTGTTCTTCTCGTATAGTTCCAGCATGAACTTAGGCACGTGATGCTTCGCTTTGGGAATCAGCGCCCCAATTTCCACAGAATCACTGGTGTTAACACTTCCCAGGCCCTCTCGCCCAATGATATTTACTTCGTTGGAGGGCTTCGCCTCCAAGCTGCTCCTCACTGCAAAGACGATGTAAATGCAGAAAATGAGGCACAGAGGGGCGAGCAGCAGGCACCCTAAATGCATGTTGCACTGCATGAGCGCTAGTTCTAAGGCGCCGCGGCGCTTACAGCAGCAGGCGTCTTGTTTTGGACCACTTGAGATCCATTTTCGACTTTATCTTAATCGCTGTGCCCTTAGCCAGGATTGGGCTATTTTTAGCGAATGGGGGCATCGGAGTGGAACAAATTCAATATTAGAAACAATGCGTTTGTAATGCCTTGGAGATTTTCTAGTTCTTGTGCAAGCGGGGATCCAGGGGGGGG